ACGTGATGTAGTCATTTTTGGGAAGTTTGCATATTGGCTGCATGCTTCCAGGACGCGCCCTTTTCATTAAAAGGCAGCCCCTGAAACCGTTGGCTTACCACGGATTAAAGAGTCATCTGATGTTCAAATGATTAATGGGAAGGTTTTGTAATTGGGTTCCACTTATTCGCTCTTCAACAAAAAAAAAAAACGTTGCCCTTTTGACACTGTCTATTAGGAAGTTTAACAGATCAGAAAAGAGTTTCCTTCCCAGATCTGCTTTGAAGATCTGTGATGAGCAATCAATGTCCCAAAAGACTTTTAATGGAGGCTTGCATGGATTAACAGACGCTCTCTAGTTTATAGTACTTTGTCACTCCGACTAAACAATAATAATTTACAAATGTTTGGTTAGTGAAGTACAGACAGCTGATTAAAGTCGTTACTGTATCACCACTGATAATATTGAGATGTCACTTGACGATATATAATTTTGGGCTCAGACAGCCATGATGAGGGGAAAATACGCTCGAGTTCAGTGAGTAAACACGTGCTCTAAACTCGTGTGCCCTCATGGACCCCTTCACATTTAAGACAGGAGCAGTGTGCCTGTTGTGCAGGTCTCAGTGGGCCTCTGGAAAGGAAAGGGATCAAAGGACTTTTGGATTTATTTTCAGTAATATTACAATTTATATGTAAGCTGCATGAGAAAGGAGCTCTGCATGGGTCTTTTATAAAATTTAACCCTAACAATAGGGGCTTAAATTGTGTTTCTACCCGTCTTTGTGTAGCTTTGACACATTTGGCATCAACTTGCAAAACAATGAATGCAGAAATAGTGATAACTGAAATTGTTATTCTTGGATTGTAAATTCTCACCTCTCTGCCCCATATACCTTACTTTACAACATCTGACTGTACATTTATTTATGGTTTATGTTTCTGTATCAGATTTTTGTGTTCGTTATCAAATATTTATTTTGAATTAGGTGGCAAAATCCATGAATGTGGCTGAATGTGTGTTTCGGTTTTACTTTAAAGTAATTTTCAGAGTTTTGGACACAGACTTAAAAATCGAATAAGGGAGGTAGAACAATCTGACAATAAAATAAAACAATTCAGAATATGATTTAAATCTGTAAGATGGTTTATATTGCAGGTCTCAAAACTGAGTCTTTGGCAAGGATTTATAAGTTGTTGAGAATTGATGTAGATTTGATATTAAATTGTAATACTTTCTAAAGCTTACACAAGGACAATTGAAAATGTACAATCATCCTTTGCTTTTTTCCGTTGTATCCTGGGATGGCAGATGCACAAAAATTCTGAATGTATTTTTTTTAAGTCAAATCAAAAAGGTGTTTGGCACCAACTCTACAAACAAACCATAAAACTATGAAATGTAAGAAGTAATACAAAAACACTGAAAGTACATCCTAATCTCTACAAAACCCTCAACTAACTTATCAAGGATGTAGATTTTTCTCAATTCTGAAGGAAAACAGGAGAAAGAGTTTTATCTGTTTGTCTAACAAAGACTAGCAGTTACTTTATCAATTCAAGGCCTAAGCTGTGTGTCTAACTAAACAGACACATTCCTGGCTGTTTGGAATTGGAAACTGATAGTGTGAGTCGACCTGGGAGAAAAAGGAAAAAGAAATGTGTTGCATGTGATGGTTGCCCGTGGTCAAGGAAATGGCACTTTTAAATCGTGAAAAATTATAGTCTTGAGCCATCAAGACTTGACTGGTGCCCACAGATATTTTTCATACTTCCTTGGAACCAAAAACAACTCCATAGACTAAAGTATCTAGTCAATGTGGTAATACAACCAATAACCTGTATTTTGGAGATGGTTCATTTAGGATTGGAAGGTCATAGCAGCTGCCTATCCTTGCCGGTGTTGGCTGTAGAGAAAACCAGTAAACAAATCAGGAAATTGTAGGACGTGTGCTCTGAACTCTAAAGCTGCGTTCACTTTGTGGAAATTTAATCGATTTTACACAAAGAAACTGTCATAAAGGAAAGTCTCTCGTCACAAACTTGAATGGGTGATGTGGGGTCAAAGGTGACCTCAGAAAAACTTTCCTTACACTAAGGTTTAGGAGAGGTAAAGACAAGCAAATTTACCTAATCTTAGGACTTTTCTGTCTTTGAAAACACTTTAGACTTATAAAATGTCCGTCAGTTCGAGCTATTTAAAGTTGCACAGCTTGCGTGAAGTGGCTGACCCATACAAATAAATGAAAAGAGGTATGGCCTTTTTTCCACAAGAAATTACTAGAATTATGGTAAGCAATTTTTTTCTTTCAAATATCGCTATACAATAACTACTACTGACCTTGTAATTCTCCCAACCAGAGTTTAAATATTTTCTTGAAGTAAGTTTTGTTCAACATAAAAATCCATCTAAATCTGTTGACTCTGAGCTGCTCTGTCTAGATTACAGCTTGTGTCCATCTGCCAGTCAGGCCTCTATGTGATTTCTGCCAAAAACAACATCTACAGTGACATTACTACTGCACTTTACAGTCTTTCCATTACTATTCTTTGTAATTTTAAAAAATAAACATAAAAAAGTGCGGCAGCAGTTGCCTGCTCTTCGCAGAGGACCATGGGAGCCTGAAGACAGCTGATAGCTGCTGAGACCTCCACTATGGCCCTGTGGTTGTCATGAGAACAGACACCGGGCCCTGCTCTGTCAGCATCAGCTGCCCAAAACAAACGGAAACTTGGCTGTGTAGCAGCCAACTTGACGTGCTCCTCTGAGACTGGCTGAGTGTTTAGCAGCGGTGATTAGGTATTTAACCCCGCTTCGCATTTTAAGTCTGTCTTTTGAAAACTCAAATTAGGCAGATTCAGCTGCTGTCCAATACCATCATGTTGTTCTATGGTAAATCTCGCCCTGATATTCTGGTAATAAAATAGTTTGTTGGCTTATCCTTAGATGTACCTATAGCTATCTGTTTCTGAAATCCTCTTTATGTCATTGCATTTTAAATTTATTGCCGTGTTCGAATCACGAGCCAAGAAATAAATTCTTATAATCAAACAAAATTTTAAATATGACTAGTGTGGTTCGCTTGTGCTATTCATAAAAGTCTACATGAATTAATAAAACTGTTTCTAGTTGAGCGTTGAGGATGAATTTAAGAGCCTCATGGCCTGAGGGGAACAAAGTGCTCTGAATTCAGGAGGTACGAAAGCAAAGTAGATATTATTTTGAACTACTACGAGGGCCCTCAGCAAACAATTCATTTATAACAGATATCACCAGTGTTCCCAGGACATGTACCAAATGATGTTCTCGGCCAGTAATATCACCTGCTGCAGAGCCAAGCTATGCACCACCTTGTCTTTATGAGGCCAACCACAACAATCCCTCAGCTGACAAACCAGAGCAGCTTTTTTGTCCCTAGGACTGTATTATTTGTTTCTGTTTTTTTATTGTTCCGCTGCTAAATCAGTTTGCATTAGCTCGTTGCTATCATTAATTTTAGGCCTAAATATGCATAAGCATCTGTGTGAACTGTGAATTCCTCGGAAATGTATGAGAAAACAGCACCACAAAGACCAATCTGTTCATGGGACAAAGACAAGAGAAGGAATCCTTTTAAATTGTTTTGTTCGTTTACATAAAGAAAATGGAATTTTGTTCTTGGGTTGATATGCACATTTCACAATCATCTTTGGGATACAGAACCCGTCTACTTCTTGAGTGGTACAAAATTCCCATTTGGTTTGTGATTGTGCATAATTCTTTGTACAAATGAACAAGACACTTTCAGGCGTCTTGTTCCTTCAAATTCCACCCAAGGAAGAAACAGACGTGTGTAAGTCCACAATCCTCTTCCTGGTATGTTTGGCTGATTTCTTTCAATTTGCCCATGATGTTACATGAGGAAGAAGTGTTTCAGGTGTACTTGTTTTAAGCTTATATTCATATTTAAATATCAATAGAAACCCAAATTATATTTTTAATCTTTTTCACAGATTCATTTCTCTAACAGTAAATTTCACAAAAGAACATTTAGACCCAGCAAACTGGTGTAATTTAGCTGGAAGTGAAAACAGCTATGCTGGTGTTGCAGATATTCCAATGGTCAATAAATTAAATGACGACACATTATGCATTGTAGTTCACACTGAAAAAGCGAGAGTACTTAATTTAAAAAGAGCTAAACTAATAATGCCAACGGTATCTAGGAAATTAGAAACATCAATAATAACCACAGTGTTATCTCTAGCTCTGATTGTTCTACGTTATCAACAAGCTGCAGTTAAATTTGCGTTCAATATATTCCCACAAAGAAGTAAAACTAGAGAAGCTATTCTTCAAACTGGCTTTCAGAGCAGGTATTGGGTAAAGTTAATTTTAGAGTTGCTTCCAGAACAGTTTGACTACTTCAGTCTGAAAGTTGCAGCAAAGACAATTAAGAAAAAAAAAAAAAAAATCAGTATAAAGTATGAAATGTGCACATCACTTAACCTGTGGCATAAAAACAGTTTTAATAAAGCAGCTAAGATTAACTTCACCACTGATCTAATCAAGAATGAAAAGATGATGTGACTTTTTTACACTTACATGTTCAGTATATTTTGCCTGATAAGTGACTGATTTACAAATATATGTTAAGCATAATTTACATGATGATTTATTATTAATTGTATTGAACATGATTGGATATAATTACAAAAGTGAAGTGGAATATATTTAAGTGTGAGACAGGATTTATTTGAATAGAGGAAGTCTTTTATTTTGAAGAATGCTTAACAGGATCTGGTTCTGTTTTGTCACTATCTTGCTTTTGTTGATTTTTGGTTGCTAGGTTACGAACAGCTGTTGCCGTTATCAGCTGTTGCCGTTTTTTCTCTTCAATAAAAACTGAACAGAAAGGTTCAGTAAAAGACATACGAGCCTCCGTCTTGTTTGAAGAAGCTTTACTCCGTAACATTTTGGTGCCGAAACCCAGGATATAAGGTCTTATATCCCGGGTTTTGAACAGCTGTTCATTCTCTCGCCCGATGAACAACTGTTCATCTGTATAGGATTTACCTTTCATTTAAGATACCTCTAAAGGATAGAATAACTGAATAGGCCTGCGTAACAAGCCACCAGTCGAAGTATGAACATTGCATGAACGTATGAGACCATCCCTGCCTGGAAAGACCTCTACGATTCTACCCATTTTCCATGTCTGTCTGGGTGTATTGTCTTCTCCCAAGAGAACTACACCTCCTACTTTAAGTAGCGTTGGAGTAGGACTGTTCACCCTGTGGGCTGATTTTAAGTCCATCAAATAATCTCTGCGCCAGCGTTTGCAAAAGCCTATCAAAAGTTTCTGTTGGTATTTCCACCTCCTACCTAGCTGTTCGCGGTTTGCAGTGAGAACCTGATTTAGGTGAGGTGAAGGACTAATCTTTGGTGGCAAGGAAGTTAAGCGTTTACCAACTAGGAAATGAGATGGGGTAAGTGGCTGGGGCTCTAATGCATCACTAGTTACATAGGACAGAGGCCTAGAGTTCAACACTGCCTCAACTTCAGTAAGAACAGTTGTGAGCTCCTCAAAACTCAAAGATGCTTTCCCCAGTACCTTTCTTAAGCATGGTTTTACAGATCTCACAAGCCTTTCCCAGAATCCCCCCCACCAAGCTGCTCGCTCAGCGATAAACTTCCACGTGATTCCCTTGTCAGTGAAAAACTCTGTGAGTGTCGATCCTAAGATATTTTGCCAAAGCTCTTTTAAATCTTTGTCAGCCCTTTTGAATGTTCTAGCATTGTCAGAGTAAATGACCCTACATAGACCTCGTCTTGCAATGAATCTCTTTAAGGCCAATAAGAAATTCTCTGTAGTCTGATCTGAGACCAACTCTAAGTGTACTGCTCTTGTCACTGCACATGTAAACAGTGCTATATATGATTTTACAGACCCGTCCTTAGTTTTAACATATAAGGGTCCAGCAAAATCTACACCAGTAACTTCAAAAGGAGGTGATTCTATTACTCTGTCTCGAGGTAAGGGAGCAGTAATCTGTTGTGCTGCCTTAACCTTTAGTTTTTTGCAAATGTAACATTTTGAAACAATGTTTCTTACAAGCTGTCTGCCTCTCAAAATCCAATATTGTTCTCTAACTTGAGTTAATGTGTCTCTTACACCAGAATGCATCACTCTTTCGTGACATGACTGAACTAATAGTTCAGAATACTTGTGATTTGTCGGTAGTATCCAAGGGTGTTGTTCTCTGAAACTAAGATCTGAATTCTGCAGTCTTCCCCCAACACTTATTAGACCATTTTCATCTAAGAATGGTTTCAAATCTTTGATTTTAGAATCTACCTTCACATTTTGGTTTGACCTTAACTGCGATATTTCAGAACTGAAACAACTCTCTTATGTTGACTTAATCCAGTACATTTCAGCTGCACCAAGTTCTTCTGTACTTAACTCTCCCTGAACCTTCAGACAAAATCTTGTGTTACTAACAAACCGCTTTACCCATGCAGTGATTCTTAACGTGGTCTGAAGCTTGCTGTACCTTTCTAAGTTTAACAGAGGTTAAGTTGGCTCAGTGCCAGTGAACTGCACGACAGTCCCAGCCCTCAGCTCTGCATTCACTTCATCCACTACATAGTCATTACAAATGTTCAGCTCCTTCTCATCTGTAGACAGTGAAGTGGGTCCCATGGTAACCCAGCGTAAGAAGGTCGGCAGGGTTCATTTTGCCAGCACAGTGGGACCAGAGTTCTGGATTTGTGAGCCCTTGTATTTCTGCCACTCTGTTGCTCACAAATGGTTTCCATCGACGTGATGAGCTGCGGATCCAGTGAAGCGTGATCATAGAGTCCGTCCACATGTTGAGCTGGTTTTTCTCCATGTTCAGTGGCTTAAGGAGGCTGTATCCTAATCTTGCTCCAATAAGTGCACCCATGAGCTCCAAGCGAGGTAATGTCATTTTCTTTAATGGTGCTACTCGTGACTTGGAGGCCACAAAACTGGTAATAGTCTCTCCTAGGTTGTTTTGTCCTTGAAGATATGCCACAGCACCGTAAGCCTTTTCACTTGCATCACAGTAGACATGCAACTTTACAGTGTGTGACTCTTTGTTAATCTCAGTGTGGTACCACCTGGGAATAGACACCAGGTGTAACAGTGGTAACTCCACACACCACTGCTCCCACTTCTCTGCCAAGTCAGTGGGTAATGGTTCATCCCAGTTGAGCCCCTTTTCCCACATCTCTTGGAAAAGGCACTTTACTCGGACTGTAAAAGGAGTAATATACGGGCTGATGTTCTTAGTACACTTCTTTTTGTATTTTCTCTGTCTTTCAAAATGTCCATTAACCCCTTTTGATCAAACACAAAATCATCGTGTTCCGGTCTCCAAACCAGTCCAAGTACTTTAAGCACATTTCCACTGGACTCTGTATCACCAGTGAGCTCTACTCCATTCTCTTTCCACATGGCTCTCAGATCAGGTGAGTTGGTAACCCATTTGCAGAGGTTCATGCCTGCCTGAGAGATAATCTCCTTTGCTGCAGTTGTCATGTGAAGAGCATCCTGCACAGTAGGTGAGCTTGAAATAAAGTCATCTACATACAGAGTCTGTGGGAGCCTGTACTGCCCTTGGCTGTTCTCTTTCAAATTGTTTGAGATGTTGCATAATTTCTGAGTCCTCTGGGCTTTCTGACTGTTTATTTACAATACCCAGGGACTCCACCTCCCAGAATGCATGCAACTGCTTAGACAGCTGGGTGTCTTCGTTCAAACTAATGTGCATACACGTGGTGTCTGTAACACTGGAGGTAGTCACTGGTCCCTGTAAAGCCCATCCAAAGAGGGTTTCAACTGCCACTAATGAATCTGTAACCCTTTGGACCTTTCCAGTAACAGCCTGCCAGTAGTAATCTGCTCCAATTAACATCTGCAACTCTTGTTCATTAGCACCCTCTAGTGGAAAGTCTCCAAGCTGCAGTCCTCTTTTCTTAATCTCTGCTTGAATGGGCTCAGTTGGTACCTTTATTACAGCAGTGCACACCTCGGGGGTCTCTACAGCATCTATTTCGATTTTCCGTTCAGTGTTCCACACATTTTCAAGTTGAACTCTCACTATGTTGCGTTTCTCTACTACAGGACTGGTGGAACCAAAAACATGGAGGTTTAGTGTCTCTTGCCTCACAACTGGCAGTCCTAGGGCTCGGACAATGTCTCTGTGAACAAAACTACGCTGGCTACCTCCATCTAACAGACAGCGAGATATTTTTCTCTCCTTTGGTCCTACAGCCCATGCCTTAACCGTTTGGAGCAATACTGTGTTCTGAGTATTTGTCTTCACTTTGACTGAGCTGGTCAACGAAGATAACACGGCCTCTGCGTTTCCACTATTGCTGGTATTGTCGACCAGCTTCAGATTGTTCACAAACTGACAAGTGGTGTTTTTGATTGCACTGCCCGCACAAAATCTTCACTTTGCAGTATTTTGCAATATGTTTCGGGCCCAGGCAGACAAAAACACCGTCCAAGCCTTTTCAGTTTCTCTCTGTGTGCACTTATTGTAAAACCAGGACAGTTCTCTTTCTTATTAGATAATTAGCTAACCCCTAGCATTGAAACAAGGGGTAGTGAACCGTCACTTCCACTGATGTTAAGACCTTAAAAATCTATGCCAAAATTATATAAAATAAAATAAAAAACACTTATGGATTCACAGACCAAAATTAAAATATATATTCACTGAAAGGTTACTCAGTTAGCCTCAAATGTATTTACACTAACAAGAAATTTCTTGAAATTATGTAATCTGTTTTACTGATTATAGTAAAACAGAATACTGTTCTACACATCTTATAAATGTGTAGAACATTTATGAAATGTTCTACACATCAGCAGGGTCCTGGAGGGTGCATGGGAGTTCGCCCAACCGGTCTACATGTGTTTTGTGGACTTGGAGAAGGCGTTCGACCGTGTCCCCAGGGGGGCCTTGAGGGGGGTTCTCCAGGAGTATGGAGTACCGGACCCTTTGATAAGGGCTGTCAGGTCCTTGTACGACCGGTGTCAGAGTC